TTTAAAAACTGGACACTCCAACAGGAGTGCTGGAACCTCCCCTGCCCCGCCTCTCACCCCCCACCCTTGTCCTGCCTATTCCCCCACAAAATCCTGCCTCTTAGGCCCTGCCCTGCCTCTTTCCCCCGAGGCCCCGCCTCCATCCACTCCTCTTCTCCCCTTCCCCCAAGCATGTTTTTCCCCACTCACCCACCCTCTTCGCCTGGGTCAGGAGGGAATTGCCTGTGGAGCCAGGGCTGCGAGCTGCAGCCACCTGACACAGGTAAGAGGCGGCCCTGGCTAAATAGGGGCAGGTGCGGGTGATGACCCACTGCCTCCCTGCCTCCCACCCTGCAGTAACTGGACATTGGGTGTCCAGTCAGAAGATCTGACTGGACAGTGTCAGGTCCCCTTTTTTAACAGACTTTCCAGTCAAAAACCAGGCACCTGGCTACCCTATCAACCAGGCATGCTTAGTCCAAAACTAGGTGAGGGTCACCAGACCATAACAGTAAACTGACCATAATACTAAGACTTGTTATGTAACAGCTTTGATTGATAGCTAGATTTAGCAGTGGGTGATTGGACTATAAGAACAGATCAATCAGGAAGGATCTAAATTTGATTGGAGGAAAAGGAAGGCTTAAAAGACTAGCCAATCAAAACAGCTCAAAAATTGTATGAAAGACAGAATCAGTAGGCAAAATTTAGAAAGTTAGGAGCAGAAGAAGAAGAATGAGAAGTCAGAAGAAATCAGAAAAAGCAACCACAGGGTGACAGCAGAAAAGGACCGTGATAGAACAGACGGAGAAAAGAATATGGAGAGTAAGCATGTTAGGGCTGGTCTACACTAGGGGGGGATCGATCTAAGTTACGCAACTTCAGCTACGCTATTCGTGTAGCTGAAGTCGAAGTATATTAGTTTGAATTATCTGGCCGTCCTCACGGCAGCAAATCGACCGTCGCGGCTCCCCCGTCGACTCCGCTTACTCCTCCTGCCGAGGTGGAGTACAGGCATCGATTCGGGGATTGATTTATCGCGTCCAGATGAGACGCGATAAATCAATCCCCGATAGATCGATTACTACCCACCAATCCGGCGGGTAGTGTAGACGTGGCCTTAGCTATAGTGTAAAATATAGATATAAATAGGATTAATGAATATGTGTCTGTATGTTTGGGTTAATAAAAATGTGTCTGTTGTAAATGTTACATTGTTTTATACATTTAATAAATTTTAAGATTGCTGTCAGCGACTGCAGCAACTGACCACCACAAGCAGAACACAGCCATTTAATATTGGGCTAACTATATGTTTATAGTTCAGGTATTTTTAGCCTGTATCCAAGGATTATGTTAAGGGCTTTGCTTATGTTTTTGATGTATGTTTATACTGTATAGGGAAGATTGCTTTTACACTAAATACAGAAAATACTTTGTTTTTGAAGATTATGCCCTGGGTGTCAATCAATTATATCGGAAGGCTATATCTGTGTCCTCCCAAGGGTAGCAAGTCTCAACTGTACTGGGAAGTTGTTCCAAAAAATATTCCTGCAAAACCCCAGCAATTTCTCTAGGGTGGACCCCCCCTTTCACCTTGCAAAAACAGGTAAATGGGTCAGCTGAAGGGAACTTCTGGTAAACCCAGGAAGGGACAATATGTGAGCTATTCTGGGGGGTACTTTGGGTCTGTTTTTGGGGTAACAAGACAAGCAACTCAGGCGACTGAGGAGCAATTCCAGGTCAGGTCAGAGAGCCTCAGGAAGACCCTATTTTCCTTGTGAGTTTTATGCTGGCCAATGATTTACAGCACTGCATCACCCACTAAAGAACTTCTTCTCAACTCACATTCTGCCTAGGCAGGTGCTGGGAGGGAGCTGAATGGTTGGGCCCATTATAAATGTTAGGAGGTAAAGGGTTTAAAGTATTGCTGCTATTTTATTATTCTAGTCACTATTTTTTCCTTATTCCTTTTCTTTTGTTCCCTATACTGAAAGTTCTGCCTGTTGTTGTATTGTTATTTTGGGGATTGTGATAATTGTTTTATTCCTTGTATATTGGACTACACTTCTAGTATATTATTTGGTAGTAAATATTTTCCCAAAGGACAGCACATATTGTATTCCATGCACTAGGAGTCCCCCGCCCTTGGATGGCGGTATCATGCGCCAAGATAAAGAACACAGCACCCATACCCCTGGGGTGAGAGGGCAGAAGCTTCTCCAAGCAGCAGGCAACAGGGAGAAGGCTTAAGCTACCCATTAGGGCTCAGGTTACACAAAGAAACCAGAAAGGTTGAAAATGGATTATTAAAGAAGGAACAATGGAACAAGATGACAGGCTCAAACCACAGATGCAATGACAGAAGATGGAATAAAATGGTAAAAAGGGAAGGGAATAAAGGAAGCCTACAAGCCTAATCAAAGAAGACAACAGTGATGGGAGACATAAATACTTAGATAAAGTTGCACAGGAGATATTTAGGAAGAAATTCCACTTTACATTTAACAACCATTGCACCATTTCTTCTGCACAACCTTATTCTTTCAAATGTAACCACAGGGGCTGTTTAATTTGGAAATTTTCGGGTTCATCTTGAAAAATGTGAGGCACTCAGCAGTAGCTATAGGAAAAGTTTTTGTTCCTCCTGTTGATCTTATAGAAAATCACCATCAGGAAAGTCAGAAAAGAGTAAGTGGATGCAAAATAAGAGTCCCAGAGGAATATACTTGTTTTATTTATTTTTCCCTTTTTAAGGGAAAATTGTTCTTTTTCATCTATTGACTTAGGTTTATTGAGACTTGATAGGGTTGTACTTATGAAGATACAGGGGGATGATTCTGATCCTAGTGGTTACATCTGTCTTTGTGTAAATACTTTTCAGGTTATTTTCTCCAGGAAGTGGAATTTGTTGAAGTGAAATCTTGAGCATTTTCCTGTGAACATCTGTGAACTGTTGGATTTAATTGGCCTATTGCAACTGATGAATGTTCATGTCCTTTTTAAAGCTCAACATGATTTAAAGAGCTCCACAAAGAGAAAGATGGGTTTTTTTGTGCAGAAGTCCTAAAATTGGTTTTAAGTAAGTAAGTTTGTTTGGGTTAATTGCCTCTGTAGTATCCCATTAACTGTTTAGTTAATTGGACTACAGCTGGTGCTCACTGTGTGTAGGAAGGAGTGTTTGACTGGTTTTGTTTAAATGGCATTTCATTCTCTTTTATTCCCTTTCACTTTACTTTGCTTAGTTTATCAGTGGCTATGAGCCTAAGGGACTAGGGTTCGAAACAGAGGGGAGCTTGGCTGTTTGCAAGTACTTCAAGAGTTGGTGGTTTAGGTGAGGTGTACATTACAGGACTATATCAGTATAACGACAACACTCAGGGGTGTGAAAAATCCACACCCCTGAGCGACGTAGTTATACCAACCTACCCCCCATGTAGACAATGCTATGTCAATGGGAGAGCTTTTCCTGGCGACATAGCTATTGCCTCTTGGGGAGGTGGATTAACTATGCCAATGGAAGAAGCTCTCCCATTAGCATAAGAACTTCTTACTTAAGCACCACAGCGGTGCAGCTGTGCTGATGCAACGTTTTAAGTGTAGACCTGCCCTCAGAGACTAACAGGGAAATAAAGAAATTGAACTGAAGGACATGAGGCCATATTTGCACATATAATGCAACACTTAAAAATGGATGGCATAATCTGATTCTAAAACAAACTCCATATTGGTTTTAATAGGGATTATTTTTAAATGACAACTTGAGATAGCCCTTACAACTGAAAATCTTAAGCTAGGAATAGGAAGGATGTATGGGGATGGTGCATCTTAGTATGGGTGGTCTGGATAATGAGAAAGGCAAAAGTAAAGAACATAGTGAGTAAACAGGTGGACTACATTGTTATGCTGGTGGTTAAGCAGGGTGGTTAAGCACTGGAATAAATTGCCTAGAGAGGTTGTAGAATCTCCATCATTGGAGATTTTTATGAGCAGGTTAGACAAACACCTCTCAGGGATGGTTTAGATAATACTTAGTCCTGCCATGAGTGCAGGGGACTGGACTAGATGACCTCTCGAGGTCCCTTCCTGTTCTATGATTCTACGAAACAGGACTTTGTGTATATTCTTAGTAAGTAAACAGGATTGCACCACAGAAATACCCGACTCGTACAATCAATTACTCCTCCTAATGCAAACAACCCATCATGGCCCCAAATATTGGCTAACCGCTCAGGCTGAGGAGCAACAAAATATTGCGTATGGTCCAAACTTATATCCTTCCTGGGTGTAGGAGGTGGCTCTTTTGTTAAGTTAGAACACAAAACTAAAAGTTAAACCTCAACCTAAGTATTCTCCCCAAGCTTGGAGTTCTTAGGGTTTCCCCTGCAGGATACCTTGGTCTTAGCTCTTAAGCCTGGTCTAGACATAGATTTTGTACCAGTATAACTATTTTGGTGAGGGGTGTGCTTTTTTTATTTTACTGAAATATTTACACTAGTAGACCCCCTAATGTTGATGAGGTTATAGCTATATAAAAATATCTTATTCCATTGACAGGGAGTGGACTGGATGATCTACCAGCTCTTTTCCTTTGCTAACTTCTGTCATTTTAAGGAAACTGAAAAGTAGGACTGGCCCCAGGGCAATGAAAGGATTTTTCACTTTAACCTAGAACCTTGTTCTAAACTTCTCCAGAACATCTGACCTGGCATTAGCAAGTAACCAAACGTAGGGAGTAAAACATTTACTATAACAGCAGTGGGTACATATACTTTGCTGTGAGTTAAAAGATTACCAAACTAATGAGACTCTTTGGCTCATCTTCATAAAAACGAGTTGGGTTTTCCAATACAACTTCAACCTCAAACATATACATTCAAAGAAAAATATCAAAAATTAACAGTATTACTTGGCGTTAATTATTCAACCAGATTTAACCACTACCACACCTCCACTGCAAAAATCCCCATTTGAAACATATTTTCACCACTTCAAATATAGTTCCAGTTTGTCATTCTCACCATAAGAAGTCTGTCTCCAACTTGCAACCTTCCATCTTTCTGTGCTGCTCCTCCATCAATAATCTTAGTAACATAAATGCTGTTGTCTCCAGCAATGTGTTGGTTTCCCACCCCTCCTGCAATACTAAAGCCCAGACCTGGAAAAGAAAGGGGAGGAATACTCGTTAACAATACCAAACATACTCTTAAAGAATGCAAGGGTAATATGTATTTCCATTAACCTGTTGGAAAGTTATTATAATATTTACTAATAGCAAATAGTATACAGGGAAACTTGTGGGGTATGTGCATCTTTACATTGCACTGCCAATATTTCCTTGGAGACCAGTCACAGATGTAGGTTAAGAACATACTGCCATATTGAATCAAGACCAGTAGCATGGACCAGCATTCACATCGCACTCCCCATCAGTATCTGTCCCAACCTGGGGAAGCTAATGAACCAACCACCAGACCAAATTTGGTGATGAATCCTGGCCATGTGCCTCCTGAGGCATGTTGTGGTGCATACGCTAAGAAGAAGACCAGTGGTCCATCTAAACCAGTATCTTGTCTCTGACAGTGGCCAGTGCCAGCAAGTGCAACAAACCCTATGCTAGGCATGGGATAAACTGCCATCAGGGAAAGTATTTTTACTGACCATAAGTACAGTTTGGATTATGCTGTGAATCATGGGGTTTTATCTCTTCAAAACTGTTGTGTTTCTTGTTACACACACACACACACACACACACACACACACACACACACACACACACACACACACACACACACACACACACACACACACACAAAACTCTCAATATTCTTGTTGTCCCTTTAAGCAGCTTAATGCCAGGGATGGGGAGAGAGAAGGAGAGATCCTTTGTAGACTGTACAAGTTGTTCAATTACCACAGTGAAAAGCACAGAATAGTTTAGGTAGGGACAGATGGAGAATGCAGTCCTTTGGATTTAATTCTGCTTTGCATAGTTATTAGCACTCAGCTATTATGGGATATGGGTGCATGAAAGATTAGACTGATATACCTTGATGTACATGTAACTTCTGTTTAGTAACCTGTAAAATTCCTAGGTGAAGAATCACACAAAAGATCTCAAAGCTCTGGAGTGATGTCAATAGTGTATTGTAATATGATTAGGAAATATACCTATCTCACAGAGCTGGAAGGGAACCCAAAAGGTCATTGAGTCCAGCCCCCTGCCTTCACTAGCAGGACCAAGTACTGATTGTTGCCCCAGATCCCTAAGTGGCCCCCTCAAGGATTGAACTCATAGCCCTAGGTTTAGCAGGCCAACGCTCAAACCACTGAGCTAGCCCTCTCCCCAAATGATAATGCAAACTACAGAAAAATACATAGAACAGGAAGGGAAAATAAACAGACTTCAGATTCCACAGGCTTGACCCTTTACCTATATTCTCCCTACTATTACCGCTACACACACACACACATATCACTACTCTCATTAGTACTAAAATTTTATCTCCCATTTTGCAAAAGTGTATGGCAATATCTGTCTATAGTGTCTTATTTTCATAAAAATCTATTATAGGCTCCCCAAACAATTCATAACAATTGTTTGTTTTTTCTTAGAGTCATATGTCTAATGAGAACTTCCAGCTGAACAAGTAAGTCATTACTGACACTTGCTCGTAAGGTGAGATTTGGAGACAACCCAAGCGTAAGTATTGCTGCAACAAAGAAAATAAATGCTATTATCTCTGATTTTTATATCACTAATTTTATTTTCAAAATGTATTGTATTCATTGGTTATAGAAACAAACATTTTAGTGATGCCTGGAACTTCATCTGGAGAGATGCAGTAGAAAAAGATTTGCTCCCTGTAACTTGGCAGTTTATGATTTTCACCAGCTTTATTGCTTGTGCAATAAAACTCACTGATGTTACAGTTAATACCAAAAGGCTTTGTCATCTACATGACGGCAGAGATGAAGTTTTATAATGAATTAAATCTGTTGACAATGAAATTACGGGTTTCCTCTCATAGTATCTTTAGAGAAACGTGCTGTCAGATAATGGAATAGGCTAATTAATGGAAAATGATAAATTACAAAGAGAAACCTCTGGAATAATATCTGAAATCCAATGAACTTTAAATGAATTAATTATGACAGTTGTTAATAATACATGTAAAATTAATGTAGAATGGTGGGACAATTAAAATAGAGTTTTATCTAATTTCTGAATACTCTTTGTATTTATGTGCTACTGTTAAGACAACAATGAGAACAATTCTGGAAAAAAAATACATGATTTGCTTAGTCCTCAATCATTTCTTTATCACCCGGGAGACACAATGAAGGGGGACAAAAGGATGTCCTCTTTAAGAAAACTTCAATGGCAAAAACTCCAGGACTTTGCCCCAAAACAGCTACACTTAGGCTGCTGCCTCCTTTGATGATTTATTTATTACACACTGGGTGAAAAAAATCCAACACCTGGTGACAAAAGGATCTGGGACTAAAACCCAGGTCTGCACAGCCAGGGACAGCTGATGTTCCCACAGTGCCATGGGGAGCACTGTGGCGAGAAGGCACAGCTGAAGTACCATACAAGAGACCCAGAGTGACAGTACCCTGCAACCCTTTGATTGGCCAAGCACCCTATTTAACCATGGAGGGTGCCCCAAGAAGTTGTCTGGGCAACCACACAGACTTCGGGCCTGCTGCAACTCCAGACCTCACCTCATCTCTGATCCTAGCCTGACTCTGACCTCCTGACTCCAGCCTGATACTACCTCTAATCTTGAGTCTCCGACTCCAGCCTGGCTGTGACCCTGACTCTTGTTTCCTGATTCCAGTGGTACTACCTGTGATCTCTGGTCTTGGACCCCAGCCTGATTTGACCCTGGCTCTAGTGATTCCTCCAACCCCTGCTCGCGTGTGACCCACAGTCCAGCTGTGACCACTAGGTCAGACTGCCTATGCCCTGACCTGTTACAGGTATACATTTTTATGACAATGTAATAAAATTTTCTAAAATATTATTCCAGAATGAGGATGGCAGGCAGAGCGATCAAGTTGATAGGACAGCAGACTGGGAGTTAGGAGACCTGGGTTCTATTCTCAATCCTGCCACTGAGGTCTTCTGTATGACCTTGGGAACCTCTGTTTTCTCTCTTCACCCCTTGGTGATCCTAAACTGTAAGCTTATCAAAGCAAGGTCCGCCTCCATGTGTCTGTACCATGCCTAGCACAGAGGGGCCTTTAGGCACTACCATAACACAAATGAAATGACTGTCTTCTCTGTTTTGAGTTGTTTGTTTTTTTGGTCAGAAGCCTGAGAGAAAGCTGATGAAAAGAACCCGTTGTCCATCTGTATTGTAGATGTGATGGTTGTACTGTGGAACAAGGTTATTTTCCTATTCTTAAGGTAGCTGTGTAAGAAGTATTAGAATTCACAGTTACTTCTTTATGATTTAGACATAATTTGTAAATTGAAAAAAAATACCCCTCAAAAACTTTTCTTCCATCTTTATTGCACAAAGTGAAATTAGTGAACATGACCCTGATCCTGCGACTGCATCCACAAGGAGGCCCACTGACTTATTATGTCCCAGCATAGGAGCAGGACTTTGTACGTGACATTTTCAGTAGACACTTATCACCTACCTTCGCAGCAGATCAAATCCACTGAGTGTGTGATATTATATAGTATGTCCTTTGTTTTCCTCCATTGCAGGCTGTAATATTTTGGTCTAATTTTAGTTGGTGGGTTTAGTGTGAGGATGCTGGATGGTGTTGGTGGCCTGCAGTGACCTATATGATGTAGGGGTCCCTCCTGGCCTTACTCTATTACTCTAAGGGCACGTCTTCACTACCTGCCCGGATCAGCGGGTAGAAATCGATCTCTCGGGGATCGATTTATCGCGTCTCATCTAGACGTGATAAATTGATCCCCGAATCGACGCGCGTACTCCACCTCGTCAGGAGGAGTAAGCGGCATCGATGGGGGAGCAGCGGTGGTCGATTTGCCGCCGTCCTCACAGTGGGGTAAGTCGAATAGGATACTTCGACTTCAGCTACGCGAATAGCGTAGCTGAAGTTTGCGTATCTTACATCGACCCCCCCCAGTGTAGACCAACCCTATGATTGAGAGACTAATCCTGTGCAGGTTCTTACTGAATCACTCATCCCCCAAATCCACAGGAGCCGAAGAAGCGCAGCATACTGCCGAATCAGTAAGATGTCACCAATACGTTTACAAGGTGTTGCGGGAATGTATGCACCTACCATTCATTTTCAAAGGCAGAGTTGCATAACCTATGAAACCAGTGCAAAGCTGCCTATAAGACTGCGCAGTCCAATGGACAGTACAGTACTATGTACTATACTAAGGCTGCCTTTGGGACACACAAAGCCAAGAGCTAGCCTTGAGAATGAATGACTATGGAAGAGCAGAAAGAGAGACAAGAAGTAACAACCATCCAAAAGAAAATACAGACAACTAAGGAAAGACAAGAAAGAAAATGGTACAAAATGACTAGACTACCCAGTGTAGGTCACCTGTGATATAATGGTCTAAATTAGATAATCTAATGACCTCTGCTGGCCTTAAAATATATTAATCTAGATATGGAAGAAGAGACAAAGGGGATGATAAAATGAAGAAAATACTGGCAACAACTTTTAGGTTTGTGAAGTGAATTCAATGTATTTCTGTTGTTTTATTTTATTATTTCCCCAGCAGACATTTTATATCTCAAAGTTTGGGGAACATAAGAACGGCCATACTGGGTCAGACCAAAGGTCCATCTAGCCCAGTATCCTGTCTTCTGACAGTGGCCAATGCCAGGTGCCCCAGATGGAATGAACAGAACAGGTAATCATCAAGTGATTGGGATGTTTAAGATAGTTTGACTACTGTAAAAATTCATGTAAGTTGTTAATAAAGACAGTTGTTTTAAGTTACTGGAATATACTGAACAAGATTTTTAAAATACAATGGTTTCCACTACTTTTATAACCTTTCAAAAAGACTTTAATTTAATTTTTTAGTTTAAAACATTGTATTTAAATGTAGACACTCCCCCATCCCCCTCAACCTCAGAGGTGGGGAGACTTTCTGTGGAACAGGATGGGAAGAAAATCCTTGGTCACTTCAAAGATTGCCTC